TTAGGATTTTCTGATGGTTGAATTAGAGGTTTTTGGACAAAATCATTGGACCATTGCGTCACAATGGCTGATCCAAAAACCTCAGCTCCAATTTGGACATATCCGTACTGATTTATTTGAGATCGAACAATAATTCTGTGATTAGAATAGTTTAGATTTTGAACTGCTTCTACAATTGAAAAGAAATTTAGTTTATCATATGCTGTGTTGTAGTATTCGACTAGAAGTGTGTATATATTGTCCGGCAATCTAACATCAATTTTATTGGGAGACATCATTTCACCAATAAAAGACTTTGCACCAGTAATTGTCTTTTCAACGTTAAGAAGATAAAATTGTCTAAATCGTCTTAATTCAGCAAATTCAAATTTATCGTAAGCCACTAAACTTCCTGACATTGCTCGTGGTTGTATTAATTTTAAACCTTCACTAAGTCTCATATTATTTGGTTAAACAAATAGAAGATCATTAAGTCGCCAATTTTGTATTATAATTCGTAATAACTCTGGCTCGATTTGGCAATGGCTATTCGGAAAGAAGCCTATGAATACAGCTAACAGATTAATAAATTTTTATAAAAAAAAAATTTTTTTATAACTACAGTAATCAGAACTCTCTATAATCACTCTCTATAAAAGTATATCATATAAAATTCTCTTTATAAGCATACCTATTTTAAAGCAAATCATTATAAATATATAATAATAAATTCTTCATATAAGCATAAATAACTCTTTATTAACACTTTTTTTAAAAAAAACAATATGAATTTTTTCGTGTGATTAAAGAGAAGTCCAACTGTATATTTAATCAGTTACCGCTATTGTTTTGTATTAAGCTTTAACCAATTTTAGATGAAACCGATTAAAATTTAAAAATAATCTTTTACAAAATTTGTCTGAGACTGATTCTCTAAACTTACCCAAGATGCCATTCATTCTCTCAAACGACTAATACCAAAACGAGGAAACAGGACCATAATTTCTACAACATTCTACAATATGTAAAGAAAGATGAATGTTGGGTGTGATAAACTCTGGTCCGTAATGTCTTTCAAT